TCCCTGCCGGGCTGAAACACTCTGCACTCAGTGGCGCTTTTGCCGGAGCAGCACCTTCTGGGTTCCATGTTGGGGGAATTTTAGGGGTCTGGAAAAGCCCTTAGGAGGAGTGGGAACACCCTAAGAAATGTAACACCCTCATCCTCCCTGCCTGGAGACAGGGGAGGAGAGGGAGTTTAGGGGGAACAGGGAATTTAGGAAGCCCCAAACCAGCCCCCCAGGATGAGTACAAAGACACAGAGGGGTCTGGAGAAGTGTCTTTGTATCACCCATGAAGGTGGTGGGAGGGTCCCTCCGGAGCTGCTCGGGGGGAGGGGCTGAGTGAAACCCCTTACCCCAAATTTCCATTTTTTTTCACCTGCAAAGTGGTGTCACCCACCCTGATGAAGGGGGAGAAGAGGGAGGGAAGGGGCACCTGCTGTGCTGGGTGGGTGAGATGTGTGTGGACAGTGGAGAGGGACTGAAGCCTCTCTAATCCCCCTGCTTGGCTCTGATGCTCCAAGCCAAAGGCCCAGAGCTCTCTCTTGCTTTCCAAGGCTCTTAGTGCAGGATTTGGGGGTGATTTGGGCTGTTGAGGCCCCTTGATTTTTGTTCCTGGCCGGTCTAGCCAGGCTGGGGAGCAGAGGTGAAGGGGCCAGTGAGTGATGGGTGGGCATCATCACCTGCTGATGCTGCTCAGCCCTGCAAAGGGCTGAAAAAGGGTCCTTTGGGGTGGAGTGGGGGATGTGTTTTTCATCCAAGCTCACTGTGGTGGCCGCGTCACTGCTGAGATCCAAATCCTTTGTGTCTGACGTTTATTTTGGGTCATTTGGAGCACTGAAGGAACATCCATTGAAATGTGACTTTCTGGCCCTGCCCTGTGGAGTCTGCTGTGCATCAAGGCTTGCTTTTACAGCAGCAGATCCGTGACCTTTCCGAGCAGTTGGTTGGGGTCTGGATGGTGCCAGAGCCAGACCTGTCCCCCCCCCGTGGCACAGCAGCGGTGGCTCGTGGGGCACAGGGACATGAGAGGAGCAGTTCCCTGTCTGCAGGACAGTCCTGGTGCAGACCCAGCACCTCACAGGGCACATTTAAACAACCTTTTCATCTCGGACATCCCCAAAAGTGATGCAAACCTCCCCCTCCTCCCCCCAACCCATTGTCATCGCGGTGCCTCCAGCGGCTTTGCCTCGAGCCCTGGTTTAATTTCCCTAATGAAGCCGGGCGGGGGAGGCAGCGCTGAGCTGGTTAGAGAACCCCTGCCAAGAGCCATTAGCTGGGAAGTTGTAATTGCGGGGATGGAGCTGCCGGCCCTTGGCTCAGAGCTGGCTAATAAACGGCCCTCGGCATCCCGGGGCCGGCAGGGCAGGGCAGGGGGTGGGGATCACTCGGGGGTTTGCTCGCTGCCCCCGAGGATTCTTCACCGGCCTGGCTCAGTTTTGGACACCCGGAGAGGCTGCTCGGAGTGCCTGGAGTGCTGGAGTGTGTCCCTCGTCCCAGACGTTGGGAGGAGGCTGAGCCAGATGTGGATGTGGCTTTCTGAGCCCCAGCCCCAGACAGGCATAAAATCCATAAAATGCCCTGGAAAACCTTCCCTTGGGTCCTGCAACACTCACCGGGGCAGCGGCTCCATCCCTCCTGCAGGACAATCCCGGACACCATCCCAGGGGACTGGGGGCTGCAGGGGATGGATCCAGCACACCCGGGGCTCCCTCCGGCTTCGCTCGGACCTGCTGGGTCAGGGAGAAAGTCTGGATGAAGTTTCTCTTTTGGGACAAATCCAGGCAAGATGCGGCTTCGCTGCGATGGGGGATGTGAGGGGTGGGGAGGGGAAGCTGTGACGGGTGCCGAGGGGGGGCTGTGACGGATGGGGAGGCAGCCCCAGGTCGGGAGGTGGGAGCTGCCGTCCTGAGTGATTTGTGATTTCCCGAACTCGCCGTTCCCCTCCCCTTCATCGCAGCCAGGCGAGGGGGAGCAGCCCCTCATTGCCGAGGGGGGGAGGGAAAAGGGCTCGGGGCACGGGGAGCCTTAACGATCCATGGGCGGTAAATCCAAATAAACACCGACGGCTCCCAGGATTTATCGCACGAGCCTGACCCGACACCGTCCGGGCTGGGGCTGGGGCAGCCTGGCTGGGGGCAGAGCCACCCCAACACCCCGGGAGGGAGCGACACGGGGGCTTCTTTGGGAACAGCCGTGTGCCAACACCCCCGTCTGCACCCCCAGCACCCCCCGGGGCTGGCTCTGTGCCACCTCCCCTCCTCACTGGAAACTTCCAAGCCTCTGGAATCCACACGGGCCATCCCTGGCTGAGAAGAGCTCTGTCCTCCTGCAGGCTTGGCTGTGAGGGGACGTGGGGGGGAGTTGTTGTGGCCCTGGGAGGTGTTTTATTGCTGTGAAGCTGCTCCTGCTGCTGTCGGTGGATCCCTGCAGGGCTGGGGCACAGATCCTGCTCCCTGCCTGTCTGCATGGTGTGGGTCTGGGAGCAGGCACAGCCCGAGGGGAAGGCTCCCAGCTCCAAACAGGCTGTGGGTGGGAGCAGAGGATCCGTGGGTGTTATCCTCGTGGGAAGGTTCACTGCTGGATTTGGGGCTGGACAGTTCTCAGAGCCATCTGAACATTGGCCCTCGTGGCATCGCTCCAGGCTCTGCTCCCTGGGAAAGCACATCCAGGACAGGCACTGGATGCATGGATGGATGGAGGGATGGATGGGGGATGGAGGGAAGGATGGATGGGAATGGATGGATGGATTGATGGATAAATGGGGGATGGATGGATGGATGGATGGATGGATGGATGGATGGATGGATGGATGGACGGATGGATGAATAGGTGGGTGGAAGGATGGATGAAAGGAAGGATGAATGGATAGGTGAATGGATGGAAAGACAGATGCAGATGGATGGCTGGATGGCTGGATGTGGGATGGGTGGGAGCTGCTGTGACATGCTGGAGCTTCCACTCTTGTTTCCTGGTCTCAGCAGGGGGAGTTGGTGGCTGGAACTGCCCCATCTGGTCCCAATTAAAGGGAGGAAGAGGCCTGATGGATCCAGGTGGCTCCCATTACAGCAGGGCTTTGAGGTCACCCAGGGGGAACCCGGCCCTGGGGGAGCTCTCTGGAGGTGAGGGGTGGTCTGGGGGGGGACTCTTGCACTGAGCTCTCCTCATCTCTGGGTGAACCACAATATTTTTGGTGTAAAAACATCCAAAGGCAAATAAGAGCAACTCCAAATGTTTCTTCATCCTGCCTCTCAATCCTTGGGTTTTTTTTTTTTGTTTGCGTTTTCCCCACCAGTTCTGGTGGCCTGTCTGATATTTATGGGCTCATTTGGGTGGTGCTCCCCCAGTAACCCTCAAAACTGAGTGGGGTTTGGCCTCTTGGACCTGGGGGCTGTCCAATTCCCACTTCCTTAGGGTTTAATTCTGATGGGTAACAAACTTCCTCAGTATTTGAAACTCCAGGATGATGCCTCATCTCTGGGGGCAAAGACTGAATTTATTTCCCAGCGATCTGGAAACCCTGTGGTTTGTTGGGAGACTGGCAGGACACAACCAGGGGGATGCAGAGACAGGGGAGAGCTGGAAGAGATCCAGCCAGGAAAAGCTCAGCAGCACTTCCAGGAGAGACAGGCACTTAAAACTCCCCGTGACCTTCCCGAGAGCTTTATGTCCCCAGGAAGGTTCTCACGCTGTCACCCTGAGTGGGTGACACAGGGGGCACCTCTGCAGGACCCCCTGGGCAGGGTTTGGCCAGCAGACACCTCCTTGGGCACCGTGAGATCAGGCCACAGCCCCTGGGGTTGTCCTCCCACCTCCCAGCCCTGGCCATCTTACCACCATCTCCCTGCCGTGCTTGTCTGACGGGCTCCAGGAGAAGGGATGTGGGAACAAACCACGCAGCGATGTCCTAAATTTCCACGTTATGAGACCTCCTGACTTTCCAAAACCCCCGTTTTTGTTCCAACCTGGAATGAAAACAAAGAAACTCCGAGCTGGTTTTTTTTGTTTTGGTTTGTTTGTTGTTTGTTGTTTTTTTTTTTTTTTTAGGAGGTAAAACGCTCTAAAAGGCGGAGGGGACCCTTCAACCCCCTCATTTTAAACTGAAGCGCTAACCTGGCTCGTTACAATCTCGAAACATCTGATGCGATCTCGCAGATCAAAGCCTCCTTGTTTGGCTTGTAATGAAGTGTCAAACCGCTTCCTTGCAACACAAACAGGAGACACTTTGATCTGCAAAACAAGATGTTTAAGAGCCCCGCTAGCGGAGGGCTCGCCGTGTTTTAGCGGCGCTGCGAAGCAGGCGGGTATTTGAAGTCTGATATTGTTTCCCATCCAGACTTTTTTTTTCCAAGCTGTGGCAGCTGATGATGGTGTGCTGCTGTCACGCCAGAGCCAGGACGCCTGAAAATCACCGAGAACTAAAACAACGGCCAGCTGGGGGACCAAAGTGATCGTTTTGCTGGCAGTTTCCAAAAGCAGTTCCTGCGGGGTTTCGCCCCCCTTTTCCAGAGGGGCTTTTTGTTTAATTTTTTCCTATGGGAAATGTCATCGGTGTGGGCTCGCCACAAAATGTCTGCTGAGAGTTGTTTTTTTGGGGGGAAACAAAGATTCTGGAGCTTGTCTGTGCTCCTGCTCCCTTGGTCTTGCTTTTCCCTGGTGCATTTAACCTGTGCCTCGTCCCACGAGGTGTCACTGGTGCTGGTTTTGGTGGGGCTGGAGCTGTGTCTGGGGTGTCACTGGGCTTGGTTTGGTATCACTGGCCTTGGTTTGGTGTCACTGGCTCTGATTTGGTGGGGCTGGAGCTGTATTTGGGGTGTCACTGGGCTTAGTTTGGTATCACTGGCCTTGGTTTGGTGTCACTGGCTCTGATTTGGTGGGGCTGGAGCTGTGTCTGGGGTGTCACTGGGCTTGGTTTGGTGTCACTGGCCCTGCTCTGGTGGGGCTGGAGCTATTTCTGGGGTGTCACTGGCCCTGCTCTGATGGGGCTAGAGCTTCTCATTGTCTCTTCCCCTTGGCCACAGGCTCAGCGCTGGCGCAATGAGAACTACGAGAGGCCCGTGGACCTGGAGGGCTCTGGGGACGATGATCCCTTTGGGGATGATGAGCTGGATGACGTCTACTCTGGCTCAGGCTCGGGCTGTGAGTACCTGTGGGGCTCCTGGGAAGGGTCCCTGGCTGTGGGGCTGGTGGGACTGGAGAGGTTCTTGCTGTGGGATGTGAGGGAAGGGATTGCCCTTCATCTGGGTTGGGTCACAGTTGGACTCGATGATCCCAGAGCTCTGTTCCAACCTGGCTGATCCTGAGATTCTGTGGTTTTGGTCTCTGGCCCTGCTGGGCAGGATCAGCCCTTCAGCAGGAGCTCTATGACAGGAACACGTGTTGTAGAGCTTTCCCAGACCCCAGAGAGGGGCTCTGGCCACCACGGGGGGATTTGGTTTAGCTGAGCCTGGAACTACTCTGTGCTCTGTTTTTTGGGGATGAGGCAGCCAGGAATAGGAAATTCTGGGGCAGCAGTGGCTTCACTTTTCTCTCTTCTCCCTCCATTTCAGACTTTGAGCAGGAGCTGGGGCTGGAGACAGCCATGAGCCTCCCCACGGACACGTCCGTGCCGCCACCCACCACCGTGGCTGCGCTGCCCGTCACCGCCGTGCAGCCCGTGGCCACCCCCTTTGAGCCGTCCCCCACCCAGGACACCACCCCAGGGCAGACCACGAGCGTCCTCTACATCCCCAGGACCACAGACACCCCAGTGGTGCCCAGCTGGAAAGCCGCCACCACCACCAGCACCACCACCAGCACCACCAGCACCACTCCCAGAGCCCCCCCGACCACCATGGCGACCACCACGACCACCACAACCACCACCGAGGCCACCACCACCACCAGCACCACCGTGGCCACGGCCAAGCCCACCACCATCAGGAGGTTCTTGCCTCCCTTGGCCACCAAGGCAGCCACCACCCGGGCCACCACCCTGGAGACTCCCACCACGGCCGCCCCCGAGACCAGCACCCCCACGGAGGTGGCCACGTCACGCCTCGTCCCCACCGGCACGGCCAGGCCCAGGTCCCTGCCCAGACCCACCAGCTCCAGGACTGCAGAGCTCACAGAAAAAAGCACTGCCTTGCCACCCGCTCCGGCCACGCTGCCACCCACAGAACCCCCCCAGGTAGGAGGCAGGACCCTTCTCACCTGCTGAGGGGCTTTTGGGCCACGTGTGGAGCCAGGAGAGGGTGATGGGGAAGCCTTTGGGGTGGAGTTGTCCTTGGGCCAGTTGCTCAGAGGGAGGTCAGGCCAGGTTGGGCTCTTCCAGCTCTGCAGAGAGTGGAACACCCGGGGTTTGGGGAGGGGAATTAAAGGGTGGAGGGGGTTAGCACGGGCAGGGCATGGTGATGAGGGGCACCCAGGGGTGTGAGACGTGTCCTGGTGACCCCGGTGCTGCCTTGCTTGCCCGGGTGCTCCAGAGCAGCTTCCCCCGGGCAGGAGGGGTGCGGGGCTGGGGGCACCACATCCCACGGGGGCAGAGCATCTTTCCTGGGGCTTAGTTTGGTGGTGTCCGGGCTCGTCGCACCGTTCCCCAACTCGCAGCCTGTCAGTGGGAGGCCCGAACGGCTCCTCCCAAACGCTCCTCAATTACGGCCTGATGGTGCATTTCCTGCCCGTCGGGTGTCCTGAGCCGGGGATTTAATCCGCTGATCCGTCTCGCATTCAGAGCCCCTCGGGGGCCCTTTGCAAACGCTTTGACTGAAAGGTGGAGTGATTTGTCTAAACTAGTCCCTCTTTTCTGCGCACAAACACGAGCGGGGAGCGCTCTGGGCTCTCGCTGACCTTCAATTAATCTCTGTCACACAAACCGGCTGCTTGTGGGAAGCACTGAGCCGTGCGCTGGCCCCGGGGGGGAGAGGACATGGAGAGGGCTCCCGGCTTCCCCACCCCCTGCTCTGCTCATCCCGATCTGTGCCGAGGCAGCCGTGGGAGGAGCCGTGTTTTCCCCACGAAGGAGGGATCCCGGGCAAGTTTGGCTCGGGGATGCTCAGTGTGGTCCCAGCTCAGCAGGGACAAGGGGGAATGGTCAGCGGGGATTTGGCCCTGGGGATGTGCAGGAGGCAGTCAGTGAATGGGGATGGAGGGCTTGGAGTGGCTCATCTGCCCAGCCCGTGTTTGCTCTCTGGGTTCCCCTCCTGGCCAGGGGGCTTGGTCAGGGACTGCAGGGATCTGGGCTGGCTCCACGTCCTGGGTGAGGAGGATCTTCCTGTGCCCTGTGCACAGGGCTGCAGCCATCAGAGCGGGTGGAAGGGAGAAAAGGGGGAGGGAAGGGACCCCCTGGTGCTCAGGCAGTGGCACCTGACCCTTCTATTGCTGTGGAAGGAACTCTTGGGCCGTTTGTGTGTGGGAAGGAAACACCCATGAGCTGTGCCATCCCCCGTGGGGCTGGGGACAGAGAGCCCAAAGGAGGGCTGAGGGGCCTCTTTAGGGGAAGCTGCAGGCAACAGGTGAGAGTTTGTGCATCTTGAATGTGCTTGGGATGGGGACAGCCCTTGGTGAGCCCCCAGAAGTGAGGCTGTGTTGCTGCTGCAGTGGAGTTGCCCAACTCAGTGGCACAGGGAGGGGACACCCCAGTGTTATCCCTGCTGAGAGGGCCACCCTGTCCTCACTAGCGGGATGTCCTTCCTCTGGACACAGCGGAGCTGCTGGAGGCAGGAGCCACCCTTTGGTCCTTGTCCCCTGCTCCACCTTGTCCTCTCTCCCAGGTGGAGCCAGGGGAGGTGACGACAGCCCTGGACAACGAGCTGGAGGTCCCGGTGAGCAGCGGCCCCAGCGGGGACTTTGAGATCCGGGAGGAGGAGGAGGAGACGACCCGTCCCGACCTGGGGAACGAGGTGCTGGCCGTGGTGACCCCCCCGGCGGGCCCCGGGCCCGGCAGGAACGCAGACACCGGGCTGATCGACAACACGATAGACTCGGGCAACTCTGCTGCTCAGCTGCCCCAGAAAAACATCCTGGAGAGGAAAGAGGTGTTGATAGGTGAGCCCAGGGGGTCTGGGCTGGGGGGTTTGGGGGGCAGAGAGCTGAGCTGGCCATGCCCCAGGAGAGGGGTAGGTCACTGGGGTAGGGTCGAGCATGGGATGACCCACACTCACTTGCCAAAGTGGGCATCCCAGGGCTCCTCATTCTTTGCTGGGAGTGTCTGGAGCATCCCAGGGCTCCTCATTCTTTTCCAGGACAGTTTGGAGCATCCCAGGGCTCCTCATTATTTTGCTGGGACAGCACGGAGCTGTGCACAACTTGCTCCTTCCTGATGAGCTGGGTTTCCAGGAAAAATTCAGGATGTCAGTGGAAAGATGTGCTGCTGAGTAAAAACCTCTGATCGATTGAGGGGAGGAGGGAGATGCCCTGGGAGGGCCACTTGTCCCAGGCAGAGTGGCATCACAGATGGGGCAGTGGTGCCAGTGTCCCCCCAGCAGTTGAGGGGAGCTGGAGAGGATGGCCCAGCCAAAGCTCTGGGGGTCAGAGATGATGGCACAGTCAGGCAGCCAAAGCTCTGGGAGTCTTCAGCTGAGAGTAGAACCCAAATGAGCAGCCCTTGGGGGCCTTTTGAAGACCCTCCTCACACAGCCTGTGCAGGGGCTGCCTCGTGCTGGTGCATCACCCACCGAGGTGCAGCTGAGAGTAGAAGCCTTGGTGTGCCACCACCCCTCGGCATTGCTCCCTGGGGAGCTGTTGAACCTTTAGCCCTCCTCCCCACCTTCCCTTCCAGCTTTCAGGAGAAAAGCTGCTCCCAAACCTGCACAGCCCAAACCCGAGCTGCAGTCCCAAATGCCCCCCCCCCTCCCAGGTGGTCTGTGCTGGGGCTGAGGGTGGCACTGACGGCCGTGCCCCTTGCTGTGTTGCAGCCGTGATCGTGGGCGGCGTGGTGGGCGCTCTCTTCGCTGCCTTCCTGGTCATGTTGCTCATCTACCGGATGAAGAAGAAGGACGAGGGCAGTTACACCCTGGAGGAGCCCAAACAAGCCAACGTGACCTACCAGAAGCCCGACAAGCAGGAGGAGTTCTACGCATAGAAGGAGAGCCGGCGTGCCTCGCCCTCCCTCCCTCCCTCCCTCCCCAAACTCGCCCTCCTCCTCTACTTCATCCAGTCTCTCCTCTTTCCCTCTCTCTTTCCCTCTCTTTTCTGTTTTTTTTTTTTTTTTTTTTTTTGGATCAGACTGTGAATTTGAAAAAGCAAAACCCGCAACAGCTGAAGGAGAACACCCATCTGTGGCGTGGCGAGCCATCGGGTGCCCGGAGCATCGGCGAGCCCGGAGCGAGCACCTCCCTCCTTCCTGCTGCTGGGATGGACAGGGCAGGGAGCCAGTGCCAAGGCAGCCGTGCCCAGGAGCGCCCTGCAGAGCGCAGGGCAGGGTGGCCAGGCTGCCCACAGCCACTGGAGGTCAACTGGACTTTTCCCAACACAACGGACTCTGGGATCCGGACACCTTCTCCCAGCCCCAGGGCGCAGGGGGGTTGGTTTGGATTTACCTTCCTTATTTTTGTTTTTGTTTTTGTTTGGTTTTTTTCCCATTCATAAAAGAGGGAGGTTTCCTTTCCCTCTGTCTTGTTTTTATTTTTTTATTGTTTGCTCTTTGAACGGGGTTGGTCGCTTGGCAGGAATTCCCTGGCTCCCCTGCTTCTCCTGGAAGAGAGGACACGACTCCCGGACAACGCTGGGAACACTTGGGAGAAAAAAGCACAAGGGGCCGGAATACCTTGGGCTGCCCCGGGGCTTGCTCTTGGCAAAATAAGAACTAAATACAAACGTGGCCAGTAGGCTGGGAATGATCTCTTTGGATCAGCTTTTCGGAGGGTTTGTGGAGCAGCAAGAAGCGGCACCGGGGGCATCTCCTGCCACCACCTCACGGAACAGCCAGAGACCTTCGACCTCCTGAACCTGCTGAGGGCTCTGGTGGAGAAGGGACTTTGCTTAGGCTGGGCTTTCACTGTGACCAATAAAACTGGGCTTGCAGGAGCTGCTGGTTTTGGAGCAGAGCTTGGCAGGGAGCTGGCAAGGGGTGGAGAGATGGAGATGGAGAAGCTCAGTCCTCTCCCAGGTTCCTCCAGAGCGGACGACGAAAGGCGTGAGGGGCAGCGCGAGGAAGGAGATGCCAAGGAGAGGTGACAGCTCTGTCCCCTCAGGGGTCACAGGGAGGGATCCCTGATGGCCCCCAGAAGGTGAGGAAGATGAGGCAGAGAGGCTGGCTGCTGCATATCCTTGGAAAAACCCAGGACTGATGGTTTGTGTTCCTTAAATCCCCAGCAGAACCCACGGGGCACCAGGAGCCTGATGGAATCTGATGGAATCTGATGGAATCTGATCCCCCCTGGCCCTGGAATCCTGCAGCACCCAGGTGCTGGTTTCCCCTCTGAGGCTGCAGAGCAGCAGGGCCTGATCCAGACCCAACTGTGCCTTCCAGAAAGGCTGGATTTTTGGGAGCAAGCTCTGCACGGAGGAGTCAATCAGATACTGCAATGAGCTGGCTTTTAATTAGCTGAAGCACCGCTTGGGATGCAGTCGAGGAGCTTTGTTTTCACGATGGTTGTGAGCTTGATGGTGCCCCATGGAGACCTTGGCTTTGCTCTTAGAGCAATTTAAACGGGAAAAGGGGGCAAAAAATCATGTTTTTTGACTCTTTTGCGTGTTGTGAATTAACCTGCACGGGGCCTGTGATGCTTTGTCCCCTGAGGGTGTTAGTGGATATGGAGTTTTTTATGGCCCTGGTGGAGACAGCAGAGCTTCTTTGGGGAAGGGATTTGAGAGACCAAATGCATATTTTAAATATATATATATATATATATACACACCCAGTCACATACATACACAGTTATATATATATGAAATCCCTGTAAAATTTTCATTGCACTGCATGGGAGGGTTGGATGGGATCTGTGGGTGGGAAAATGGGAGGTTTGGGCTGCACTCCCTTGGGGTGTGACCCAAAATGACAGCCTGGCTTTACTCCAGGGCAGGGACCAGCCCTTAAAATGCCCAATTTAGAGCTACCAGCCTCAAAATCGTCACGGGTTTAGGTCCTTGGGAGTTTGGAAATGATCCTGTTGATGCCCTGGATGGTGGTGCTGGAAGGCAGGCAGTGCTGAGTGTGTACGTGACCATTCCTTGGGTCCATCCTTGGACATTCCTTGGGCTGTGGAGGATGAGGAGGGAAGGAGGGACCACACAGCTGGACCGGCTGGTGCCAACCTGGGGGCAAAAGCCACTTTTTCCTGCTCAAAGGGGAGTTTCAACTCATTAATTTGATGGTTTGGGGGGATTTTTTTGGTCCTTTTGGGTCCACCCGAGGGGTCCAAGCAGCAAGGAGTGGTAGAAATCAAGCCCCTTCATGATTTAATGAGCTGGGCATGGCATCAAGGCCACCCAAACCCATCATCTTTTAGAAAAAAAACGTGGACTTAATCCTTTGAGCTTGCATTAAAAAAAGAAAAAAAAAAAAAACCCTCCCAGCTTAATCTTTTTAATGCTGCTTTTCTTAGCTGCTTCCCTTAATCTCCTTCATTCCATTTTTTTCCCCCCCCTATTTAATAGTCTGAAGTTCCATAATACCATTTTTTTATTCGCTCAAGCTTAACCTCGGCTCTCTGGGCTGGTGTTAAAGTTGTAATCCCGGCACTTAAATCCGTCACAGTTCGCAAAGTGAGGGAGGCTGGAAGGTGGGGGGGGGGGAGAGGAGCCAGGGCAGGACCTTTTCTTTGCGGTAATTA